CACACACACACACACACACACACACACAGGCCAGCGTCTTAATCTTCTGGAGTGTGTGAGACTGAACCTTGTCCATAGGGTTAATCTGTTGAGGCCTCAGTCACTCAAAGGAGGCTGGCGTCCTTTTTCCCGAACACAAGATGGCGCCACAGGATTACATTAGGTTTTATTGTGTTTTGGGACAACTCCCCCCCCCACGACGTCCCTAAGGTCTAAACGAACTTGATTGTTCCCCCTCGGTGAATTTCTCCAAATATATTTTCATTTCTCTTATTTTGAAAATGTCCCATTTGATTCACTTCGGCACTTTCACTCACTGTGCACACGTGCTCACGGTTTCCAGCTACCTGCCACATTGCGTGTCCCTGCGCTCCTCCTGCAGAAAGATGGCGCTAGAATACAACTTTTTCTCATCGAGGGCCAGCGTTTCATACAACAGGGGGGCCTGAAACCTCACTCAGCTGTCACCAATCTCATGTTGCACGAGGCTACACGGGGCTTTTGTACCTGGACTGGCTGAGACAGGATTGTTGGTGTCATCATCCAAAAAATCTGCAAATCCAACAGTGTGTCTTTTCTTACAGATGATATTCCAAGTCCAACTTCTGTAAAAGTTGGGGTCAAGGATTTAGTGCAACCACTGATCATTATTTTAAAAGTATATGGGAAGGATCAGAAACTATTAAGGGGTGGGGGAAAAGCCTTCTGGGATGTTTCTGAACATTTTTGGCACCTCAAATGACGCGCTAATTACGCACGAAATAACGCACCACACATAATAATAATAATAATAATACACCCATCAGTGTCATTAATTTAAATATGAATGGCTGTACAAGGTGCCTGAGGTGCAACTGACTATTAAACAGAGCCTCGCAGTTTTAGTAAGCTGAACGTTGCCGGAGGCCCCGTGCCATGGTGGAAGTGGTTGAAACCAAGCCCTAGACAAACACGGCTGGATATTCAAAAGGGACCCTCGCTCTTGTCAGACAGTAACCCCACTCTCCGACAGCTCTGCGTTAAACCTCCACTCCTCCCCAAAGTGCGCAGAGCCCCCCAAACAATATTTCTGATCCTCCTCCCACCTCCCTCTCTCCTCTGCTTTTGTCCAGGCCTGGTAAAGAGGTCTGGGTCTATATAGCTGCAGGTATCGTTCAGTTATTGTGCAGTTAAAATGTGTGCGCCTTTTGAAGTCAGACATGAAGGCTTTGTTTTAAACATTAACACCAGAAGAGAAAATCTATAGATGCATGTGTGGAATTATATATTTGGGGAAAAATATGAACTATAAATGGTTTATTGGGGAAAATAAAAAAAGAAAGTTTTTTTTTTTCCTGTGAGAAGTTTCTCCAGCATTCTCTGATCATGCATGAAATGTGTTTCATGTCAGTGTCTGAAGTGGAGAAGCATCCGTGCAGCTGTCTGCTGGAGACGGGCTCCGCAGACTGCATGTGTGTGCGTGTGTGTTTTCTCTGAAAAAAAATGGGTTTTGGACTAAAGCTTGGACTATTATCACCTATGTGAGCGCATATGTTGCTCTATGTATGTGTGTGTGCGTGCGCGCGTGCGTGTGTGTGAGAGAGAGGGAGGGAAAGCTCATTCGCTTTTGGCCCGAGGGGTCTACATAAGTATGTATTAGAAATAAACAGTGGATAAATAAATAATGACCCTCACAAAAGCAGGGGAGCTCTCTGTGCAGAAGTAATGATGTTGGCAGTTAACCTTCAAGTTTTTTAACTTGACACAGTTTCATTTGCGGCGAGAATTCATGTTTTCATTCGAAGACAAAACGGTAAAAGAAAAAAAAATGATGGATAGGCAAATTTACTTAAAGAACTTTAAGAGATCTGGCATTTTTTACTCTACTAGTTGAAGACAGACCCGTAGGATAATGTTTATATGCTTATAATTGACAATATTTAGCCTTATTTTATCCTCTTAAATTTGCAGCCATATTGTCTAAAAACTCATCTTCATTCTTGGTATTTCATTATATTGTTTTTACTGGAAACTGAACACGTTCCCTGCCTTCTCATGTGCGCAACCCACATTTAAACTTTCCATAAACAACATTTTTCTCAGACTTAAATTCACTTCATGCAAATAGATTGTCAGGTTTTTATATGGACAAGTGGAAATTGAAACATTCCATCGAAACATTTATTCATAGCGGTGGGATTAATCTCATATATTTAAAACATATTTTTTGGGGATTGTAATATTATTATCATTGGCTTGATAACACTAATACCACGTGTCTAGTACAAATTAAATAACAAACCCAACTTGCACACACACAGACAAATAGACCATTTCACTTTTTTTCCTTCCTCAGGTATAGTTTTCTCCATGCTCGTCCACACCCGGCGCAGTGCGCATGCGTCACCAGGTGGCCTCACACCGTTTTTATGGCCAGGTGAGACGATCCGGTCCAGGTGAGAACACAGTGGGTGTAAACGTTTGGAACCGAAGGCTCAATGAGACAGACACAGCAGCGGATCGACTAAAAAGAAGAGGAGAAAAACAAACCCAGGAGAAAAAGGCAGCAGAAGACAAAGAATGTCAATTATGGGCAAGATGGGGGAATGGCAGGTATGTGCTGCTTACTTTAAGACAAAGACACGCCTGAGAAAAATCCAAGAAAACTGTCAAAGTGTCGAGTAGCTGTAGGATGAGGCACCGTGGATTTTTTAGTAAAGAGAGCTGGTACAGCGACTAGACGCTTATATGTTTGATGTTGAAATATTTGTTGTTTTTTCCAACTCCAAAAATGATCCATCTCCTCGCTTTGCCGTGGATGTTGATCGCATGTTGTTGTAGCTTGTAAAGTCTTCGTGCGTATTTCAGACAGGTTGTAATGTAAAGGGTGTTTTTAAAATCAACTAGAAATGGTTAAAAACGACATGAAGTGGCTCAGTTTGTGCAGCGTTCACTGAAACTCAAACCGTATTCAAAACACTGCGTTGAGACCTCGACGTGCACTGTAACTTTTCATAAATGAGCGTTTGCATGCAGCTGTTATATGTCTCGTATCCTTACGCAAACTTTGGATCAAGTCTTATTCTTTATTAAGTTGCCTGTGCGTAATTGCAAACCTGGCCTTGCTTTCTGAGGTGTGTGTGTGTGTGTGTGTGTGTGTGTGTGTGTGTGTGTGTGTGGTGGGGGGGTGTAGGGTTAGGAGACGACTTTTGCTGAAAACACTCGAGTTTCACTCCTTTAAAAACACTACGACCACCACAGACACAGTTTCTAGAAGCGTGCATGGCTGTCATTGTCAGTATCATCGCTCCATTATCATTAATGACAACTGCGCGTAAAAATAGGGTGTTACTACAAATGGTAATCCGGGGGCCAACGCCTTAAAGATGTGGCGACCTGTCTCCTGACCCACGACCCGCTGAGGTGAAGGCTCGGCCGGCGACAGTGGCAGAGACAGGTCCCCCCCTCTAACCTAACCGGTATTTGAAGTGAAAGAAGGCCATGTTGTTGTGTTAATTATTTACGTCCCCCCCACCTTATCTCCAAACCCATGCGCCCTTACATGTAGTCAATGGACCTGTAGAGCCGCTCCGAATTGCATGGTTCACCCCTTTTTAACATAACATTGAAAGAATGGCCACTCAAGGTCTCCACTCTCAATGGGATTAAAATAACAGTTTGGGAGTTTAAGAAAAAGAAAAGAAAAGTACAGGTTGGTGTGTGGCAGGGGGAGTATTTGCATTTAGGTACAGTGTTTTCACATCAAGAGAACTAATCAATAAGACGCTGGGTTGTGCGTAAAAGGAACGAGTCAGTTGCCAAAAGTTCACAGGACAGATATTGGCTCCTTTAAAAAAAATATTAAAAAACAAATGCTCTTAAAATATAATTTCTACTGTCTTGTGTGATTTTCTATTCCCCTGGAAAGACATGCAAAATGATCAGAAAACCGTCCCATGTGCATGCAGGTCCCCCTGCATGACAATACCCTGCACCCCTCCCCTTAACAAACACTGACATACACCACGATGAACGGTATAGAAATGATGTCAAGTAGTGCATGTGCTCCTTCGGTTTTTACCTGTGCGGTGTCCATTGGTGTTGT